AATCCGCCCTTCTCGGCCTCCCAGAGTGCTAGGATTACAGGCGTGAGCCACCGCGCCCAGCCTAGTGTAGCTTTTTACTCAAGCATTCAATTACAAAACAATTAAAAAAATCTAAATTTGAGAAAATGAAAACACTCTAACCTATCAAAATGTAGAACGAAAAATAAAACGTGAACTCAGGAAAACAAAAAAAGGGCGCTGCCACTGAAAAATGTGTCTGGCTATATATTTTAAAAATAAACCTACTTTAGAATAAAAACAAGGTGATTTTTTAGAAATATGTATATAAATGATTACAGAAATGGTACATAAAACAATAAAATTATAGAAAAATGTTTTTTTGTGATTAAAACTTACTTTTGACTCAGATGCTGTACTTCACTTTCAATTAAATTAAAGAAAAACTTGAGCAGTGTCAGGTGGAGCACCTTAGAGCCAATAATATTTTCTGAAATTTGATGACAAAAATTTTCATTGAAAAGGCAAGACCTGAAAAACATAAACCCAACAATCTATAACATACAACGAATTCACTGAGTGATCTGTGAACAAAGTATTTTTTTTAGGATACTGTTGGAATTTAAAAATTTTTTTCAACAAAATATAAAGCAGGTTCAACAAAATTTTGTTAACAATATATTTCTTCCCTTAAAAATTAAACAATGTCAAATAACTCATGACTCTTCAATTCTTAATAATATAGATCTAATTTCTCTATTTTTCAATGATCACAGTATTTAACAACTATTGAGTACTCTCCCTTTGTACTCTATTTCACTGATAAGAACAAATGATGAATTTCATTAAGTACTTTTGATCCAAATCACCAGCTAAGCTCTCAAACAATACTTGTCACAATCCTTCTCTTTCTTACCCAAGATTATTGTCTTTTTTATTACTTATCAAATGAAGGTTATTGAGGGCTACTTGAGATTCAGTATTTTATTTTGTTTCCATCTTCTATAGCAGTCATTCCAACAGAATTTTCTGTGATAATGGATATGTTTTACTGGATATCTGAAAGGTGGCTTGTGCACCTGAGGACCTTAACTTTTAATTATTTAATCTCAAAAAATTAAATATAAATAGGCTAGGAGCAGTGGCTCATGCCTATAATCCCAGCGCTTTGGGAGGCACTCTAGGTCAGGAGTGTGAGACCAGCCTAGGCACATAGCAAGACCCTGCCTCTACAAAAAATAAAAAAAACTTAGCCGCTCACGGTGGCACACACCTGTAGTCCTAGCTACTTGGGAAGCTGAGGCGGGAGGATTGCTTGAGCCCAGGAGTTTGAGGTTGCAATGAGCTATGATCGCATCACTAAATAAAAATTGTTACATGTGGCTAGTGGCTACTGGGTCAGACAGCACAGTTCTATAGTATATTTTTAAATAAAACATAAGACTGCTCAGAACTCTAAGACTTACAGAGATAGATCCTCGGTAACAATATTACAATCTCCCAATTTTCTTATTATATAAACAATGTACTTGTAACTTTCTACCTCTGTCTCCATTTAATCTGTCTTCTTTTTGAATACCATATTATCAGGTTAAGATAGTCCATAGCAGCTATTAAACTTTTTTTTAATAATTTAAAAAAATTTTTTTAAAATAGGGAGTGAGGTTCAATTTCCTTTTTTTTGAAACAAAGTCTCAGTCTGTGGCCCTGGGTAGCGTGTGGTAGTGTCACCATAGCTTACTGCAACCTCAAACTCCTGGGCTCAAGGGATCCTCCTGTCTCAGCCTCCCAAGTAGGTGGGACTACAGGCACAGGCTGTGACACCCAGCCAATTTTTCTATTTTTAGTAGAGACGGGTTCTCACTCTTGTTCATGCTGGTCTCCGTACTCCTGGCCTAAAGCAATCCTCCCGTCTTGGCCTTCCAGACTGCTAGGATTACAGGCATGAACCACCACACTCAGCTGCAGCTATTAAATTTAACAATTTATTTGGTACTCAAATCTGTTCCGTGAGGTACCCATCCTCATATAGTTATTCGGTCTGTCTGAAAACTGACATAGGCAAAGATTCTTTTTTTCCTTTCTTTTTTTTTTAAAAAAAAAGGTATTATGGAATAATTTAAATATACACAAAAGTAGAGAGACTAACATCACCCAGCTAACTTATATGCCTACCACTTCCCTAGGCACCCTACCCCCAACTCCCAATGAATCCAATTATTTGAAAAGAAACCTGGGTATTTCTGTTTATTAAAAAGTCTAACTTTAATCTGCCCAAATTCTATCTCCTGTCGTATCAATTAATTCATCCAAACATTTTTTAAATAATTATTATGTTCCAGGCATTATATTAGACACTGAGAATAGAGATGTTTAAGACTGAGCACCTATCCTTAAGGATGTCACAGACTAATGCGAGTGACAAACCTAACTCAAAGGAAAGAGCAAGAGTTAGAAAGTAGCATCTGAGTTGCATTTTAAAGGATAATTAGGAGTTGGGCAGTGGGACAGATATCTGTGAGGTGGCAGAAATAGGAGGGGGTAGGAGAGGAGAGGGGGAGGGGGGAGAGAGAGAGAGACAGAGACAGAGAGAGAGACAGAAAACCTAAGAACAAAGAGATAGGAAATAAAAAATAGTCATTGGGCACATGGGGGAAAGTGATGTAGATGAGAACAGAGACTCATATAGGGGTTAAATCATGAAGGGTCTTACATGTTTTGCTAAGGAATTTGAACTGTCTTCTACAGGTGACGTGTGAGTCAATGAAGGACTTTAATCTGTCAATGACAAGATCACTTTGGAAAGAGCATACTGGGGTGTTTTGGAAGATAAATTAAAGGGAAAAAAGTAGAATTAAGATCAATAAAGCAGCTATTACAATAGTCTATGTAAGAAGCAATGAAAACTCTTAAATACAGTGACAGTGAAGGAAGAAATAGATTTGGTAATTAAGAAGGATGCCAGCCACATAAACCATATTTCCTCATATGCTATACCTATGCTGGCTAGTTCTGCTGTGCTGGAATTACGTTTACATATCAGTCACCTTCAAAGTGCAGGAACTGTTATTTCATTTACCTTTTTATCTCTAAAATGTAGCATTGTGCCTGGCTCCCAGTAAGTACTCAAACATTTGCTGAAAAAAATGAATAAATGCATGCTAGCTACGTGATTAGCTTACTTCAAATATATCACAACCAAGATGTTACATGAATCTTTATGATCTCAAAGAGCTAATCAAAGGTCTACCCTTTGCCAGGCAACTCAAGTGTCCTTTCTCTCTCACTACTATAGACCTCCTAAAACTGATCATTTTATCATCACTTGGATGATAAGAAAGACCTTCCCAGACAAATAAGGGTTATCAGATACACAGAGGTATCAGAATAGGAAGAGGAAAATCCTAACCTCTGTTAGGGAGAAAGAAAAAGAAAAAGGAAGGATTTCTACAGACAATAACATACAAAAGACAAAGGAAGGCCTAGGCAGATGACAGCATGGGCAAAGGCATGAAAGAGATGATATATTTGGGAAACATTAAGTTCTGTTTCAAAATTCAAAATTTCTAGCTGAAAAAATATAACTGATGCCCTAAAATAAATACCATATAGAGTCATAGATGTTTATACTTTTGATGACCAAAACTGATGATATGCATGTTCAGTAAATTAATTTTCTTCATTTTAAAACAATGTATAAACTTATAATTTTGTTAATAAAAAATAATTTGGCTTTGTAGTGAATCCATTTCATGCATTCACTGAACTTTTGTTTTTTTAATAAACAGATTGACAAACATGACCAAGATAGATTTGGCCTTTTTATAAGAGTTTTGCAATAAATACAATACACATACACTTTTCTAAAAATAGAAATATACTTTTTTCATCAGTTTCTAAAAAAATACATACCATAACAACTACTAGATGAAATGTAGCATCTTCACATGTGTAATTTCTTACCTGATAAGCACTTCTACTAAAGACCATGCTCCTTTCGTACAAGTTGGACACTGAAACAACTCTAAGTAATATTGTGACATGGCTGGGGACTTCCAAGGAGGATGCAGGTGAAGAAGAGCTGACAATATATGAAAATATCGACCAGAAAACGTATCTATGTTATCCTATTATGTAAAAAAAACAAACAAATAAAACACTATAGCTAAAAGTACAGTTTCACCAGCTAATTCAGTCTAAAGCTAGAATAATAATCCTAGCCTAACTTTCTTGTTAAATATATATGCTTGGACAAAGCAGATCAGGTGGAGATTAGCTAATTAAATACAGCAACTGAGAGAGAGGGGCACACTCTAAATATGTACAGTTGACCTTTGAGAAACATGGTTTGAACTACATGGTTCCACTTATACGTGGATTTTTTTTTCAATAAATGCAGTTGGCCCTTTGTATCCACAGGTTCAGCATCTGCATCCAAACATGGAAAGAAAACACAGTATTTGTGGGACACAAAACTTGTGGATGTGGAGGGCCGACTTTGCTTACAGATGCAGGTTCTGAAGGACCGACTGTGGGATTTAAGTAAGGGTGGATTTCAGTATCCACGGGGGTCCTGGAACCCATATCCCATGCTACTAAGGGACAACTGTATCTACACATTACGTAATCTGAGCTGTTAGCACTAGTTTATATAAAAAGTTCATTATCCTTTTCATGATTATAGTGAGATTAAGAGTTCCCAGATGTCATCTGAAAGGAATTTCTCATGCAAAATTAGTCTGACATGGCTTATACCTGCTATGTTTTCAAATTAGGACCTTGATGAAGAACATGATTAGAAAGTTACCTTTGAATAGCTGCTCCTACTGATTTTCACAGTTAAAAGAGTATGTTCATGCTCTATGTATGCTACAAATTAAAATGTTTATTATCAATGTGCTAAAGAATCAATTTATGAAATGGTATGCTAGATCACTGTAATTTGAATTTCATATTAGATACTTTACTGCCACGAAAAAAATTACTTTTTCCTAAGACAAAACTATCTTAGAAATCTTGAGAAAATAATAAGCTACAATACTCAGAGTAGTACCCAGTATATAGTTAAAAAAAGAAAAGTAGTAGTAACAAATAGGTACTGCATTTCCTGGTAAAATGAAAAAAAATAAACACTAAAAAGAGAAACTGTAAATATACAAAAAATGTTCACATTTTAACATTCTTTGAAAAAAGATTATAAACCCTTAAGACTGCTTTTACCTGTAGAACATTCTCTAGAAGAGCATGAAGAAGGCATACAGGAGGGATATATTGTGCTTGCAAAGAGGAAAGTTCCTCAATTGCTTCTTTAAAAAACTGTCCTTCTATGAGGCTTTCAATTAAATTTAATACACCTCTGGGAAATTCAGCATTTTTAACCTAAGAAAGAAAAGATTCTATGACTCAAAGAAAAGAAAGGTGAAATTCTGGTATCAAATCTTAAATTACTAAGGATTTATAATTTCCTCATCTGTAAAATGAAGATAACTCCTGCTCTCACTACTTGACAGTGTTGTTATATAGTTCAAAAAGGATGACATATATGAATTTTTTTTTAAACAATAAGTCACTGCAAAAATATAAATTATTATTATATTTATTATTTTCTGTTCCTTTAAATAGTAAGGGGAAATATTACCTCTAAAAGAAAACTTTGAGTAGAAATTTGCAGTTTGGTTGATAAAGAGAAGACTTCAGTTAGAGAGCTACAACTACATAGTTCTTTAAGTGCAAAATTATTTTTTGGTTTTATCTTAAACTTGAAGACAAACTATGTTTATTATGATTTCTTAAATATATTAAGATATCACAAAACACAATCAATATTTGGAAAAAGTAGCAATTGTTAGAGAATAACAAAATCATTCTGAGAATGCATATTTATACAACTGAGAGTTATATAAAATTTATTTAGTCAAAATATTTTTTAAGAATAAAAGTAACTACTTTCAACAAGCTGAGAATCAAAACTACTCTGAAAGATTACATGGAAGAAAAAAATCAATTTTAAGAGAATAATAATATAAAAGAAATAATATACTTTTGTAAATATTATACTAAAAAATTCTAATCTAAAAGTAGTAATGCAGAAAGTTGGAAATGTGAGAATAGGGATACATATTTCACCTGCATAAGCACAAGGTAAGTTTTTAATACTTGTGATCAGTTTTTACTACTGTATGGAAAACTTTTTTTTTTGTTTTGACAGAACATTTCTTTTTCCTTTTTGATTACAGAAACTATATTCCAAATTTTATAGGAAGCTTTCTTGTACAGATAACACATGCCTTTAAATAAAAATAACTAATAATAACAAAATACAAAGCTTCTTTTTTGCCCTGATTACCACCCTACTCCAAGCCCCTTACCTCTACATTGTATACTGGTTGTTTATCTATTCTAATGCAGTTATATCTGACAGCCTACAAAAAAGCAACCACATAATTAAAATTTAACATCATTAGGTTGAAAAATACATTTCAGCTTACAAAGCATAAGAAATATACAAAACAGAATCAGGAAAACATTAATAGCTATAATTAATCTGATACTCATGTTTGCTCAAAATAGTGACTTACACCATTTCAGGAAAATGGCACTCTCATGAATATGAACATTTTGTCTATTTTATTCTTCTAAATTAAGATAACTTAAGAGATAAAGTTATACTCACTTTGAAGATACGAAGAAGTCCATTGTCCTTAGTATTGTAATTATTAGAAATATAAATGGGGAGAACATTTTGTATAAGGGTACATGACAAAAAATGTCAGTGGTTATTTTATAAAATCCTATGTAAAATCTCCCTCTATTGTTTTAAAATACCTATAATTATTTAAAAAAATTATCCTGGAAAAATATCTGAAACGAATATAATAAAGAGATAATATCCTGGAAGAAGAGGGCTTCAAGAAGGCTCAATAGAGGTGCCCAGAACTCACCTCCTCCACAAAGAAGGACTAAAACAGCAAGCAGATAATCACAGATTGAACAGAGCATCTAAGAGAGAACACCAGAATTCAGCAGGGAGAGACAGGGTACCCGTGGGGCCTCAAAGGACAGGGAAGAGAAGCAGCTAGTCCAGCTGGGATCTGGAATTGGCTGGGAGCCAGGAGAAATTCCCCAAGGAAAAGTAAGCATTTCTTAGTTCTCTATGTTCCCACCTTGGACTCCTACAATCTAGCCACAGGAGGGCCCCTCCACCCTCACAGGCCCTGAGACTAGCTTAGGGTGCTGCCTGGAATCCACACAGTGGTATTATTCCAGAGAGGGAGTTTGCACTGAGTCCCAGCCAACCCTATGAGATCCAAGAGGCTACAGCATAGCATCGTTTTGAGAGCCCAGCCATCACTACTATGCAAACATACCATAGGGGAACCTGAGGATCAACCCATCCTGCCTGCTGCTCATGTACACCATCAGGAGGCCTGAGGAAACCCAATCCCCTCTGTCCACTACCGCTGCCACCAGCACCTGAATGCACTGCCAGGGCACATGGGTATTGCCCACACCTGCATGCCGCCCCTGGCACACAAACACACCATCACGAGGCCTGACAACAGGCCCACCGTTCCCACCACTGCAGGCACCCAAGCATGCCACCATCCAGGGAAGTCAGGATCAACCCACCCTGCCTGGCAACCGGGTGCCCATACACGTTGTCAGGGGGCCTGAGGATGGCCCACCATGTCATGTCCACTGCCACAGCTGCTACTACCTCAGCATGCTGTCCAGGGACCTGGGGATCGACTTGCCCTGCAAACAACATCCATAAAAGCACAGGGGCCTTAGGATGGTAACAATGAGCCAATTGCTGCTGACAACCACCCACATGTGCCACCTGGGGGCATGAGGACTGGCTGGCCTGGCTTGTCGCTGCTATCACTGATACCTGAGCTTGCCCCTTGATGGCCTGAGGATTGACCTGCTGCTTCTATTTCCACTGCTAATGCTATGCACACTTCCCCAGGTACCTAAGGACGCATCTAGCCTATTGCTGCTACTGCCAGCATATAAACAAGGTGCCGGAAGTGCCACCTGAACCCACTACTACTGGTGTCAGCATATGCCGCCCAGGGATCTATGGACTGACACGTCCAACCTGCTGCCATCACCACTACTGCCTGAGAAGTACTCACCTGTCATCCACATCCTTAGCAAAATCTTGCCATCACGTCCACTAACACTCGCAGCCTAAGCCACTGACGAACTCACTGACAATACTGACGCTGACTAAAGTCAAAGAAATGGAAATTACACTACTATTTACTTTTTTAAACAGAATCAAAGCCAAAGTGCCATACCCAACTAACATTATAGATACAACTGTACAAAAAAGTCTCTCCTATGGAACAAATTCATAAAACTGGAAGAAGTGACTGTTAGACCAGATACACAGATATGAACATAAGAATATAGGAAACATGAAATAGCAAGGAAGTGTGACACCTCCAAAAAACACGATAATTCTCTAGCGACAGATGCCAAAGAAAAAACCTACGAAATGCCTAAAAAAGAGTTCAAAAGGATTATTTGAAAAAAACTGTGAGATACAAGATGAAGAATCCAAAGGGGGGGAAAAAAATTCATGATCTCAATGAAAAATTCAACAAAGAATTATCATTAAAAAGAACCAAACAGAAATCCTGGAACTGAAGATTCAATAAATGAAATAAAAAATATAACCGAGACATTCAAGAATAGACTAAATACAGCAGAAGAAAGAATTTCTGAACTTGAAGACAGGTCTTTTGATATAACTCAGTCAGATAAAAAAAAAAAAACAACTTGAAAAGAATAAAAAAAGAGAAAAACTAAGTGACATATGGGATACCATAAAGTGACTAAATATTCAAATTCTCAGTGTTTCACAAGGAAAAGAGATAGGCAAAGGCATAGCAAACCTAATTAATGAAATAAAAAATATAACCGAGACATTCAAGAATAGACTAAATACAGCAGAAGAAAGAATTTCTGAACTTGAAGACAGGTCTTTTGATATAACTCAGTCAGATAAAAAAAAAAAAAACAACTTGAAAAGAATAAAAAAAGAGAAAAACTAAGTGACATATGGGATACCATAAAGTGACTAAATATTCATATTTATAGAGTTCCAGATGGAGAAAAGATGGGCAAAGGCACACAAAACATATTTAACAAAACAATACCTGAAAAATTACCAACTCTTGTAAGAGATATTTCTGAATAGATTCAATCCAAAAAGGTCGTCTTAAAGGCACAATATACTAAAATGGTCAAAAGTCCATGATAAAGAGAGAATTCTAAAAACATCAGGAGAAAAGTGTCATGTCACACATAAGGGTATCCCCTCATCAGACAACAGTGGATTTCTCAGCAGAAATCTTAGAGTCCAGGAGGGAATAAGAAGATTTATTCAAAGTGCCAAAAGAAAGAAAGAAAGAAAGAAAGAAAAGTAGCCAAAAACACTACGCAGAGCAAAGCTATCCTTCAAAAATAAAGGAAAAATGAAGTCTTGCCCAGTTAAGTAAAAATGGAGGGAATTAACCACCACCAGACTGGCCACACAAAAAAATACTTATGCAGTCTTACAAGTGGAAGTGAAATGACAGTATCAATCATCATGAAAACACGAGTAAGTCTAAAACTCATTGGTAGAGTAAAAACACAAATGAGAAGGAGGAAGGAGTCAAATGGTACCATTACAGAAAACTACCAAACTGCAATGATAAAACAATGAGAAAGAAAGGAATAAACGATATATAAAAGAACCACAAAACAATTAACAAAATAACAGGAATAAGTCCTCATCTATAAATAATAAACTTGAATGTAAAAGTATTAAATTTCCTACTTAAAAGATACACATTGGATGAATGAATTAAAAAACATGATGCATGATATACTGCCTAAAAGAAACTCACATCACCTGTAAAGGCACATAAAGACTGAAAGTAACGCAAATGGATAAAAAAGTGAGCAGGACTAGCCACACTGATATCAGATAAAACAGATTTTTTAGTCAAAAACTGTAAAAAAGAGACAAGAAGGTCATTATATAGCAGTTAAGTGATCAATTCAGCAAGAAGATAAAAAATTTCTAAATATATATGCATCCAATACCAGAGTATCTAGATATATAAAGCAAACATGAGATCTAAAGGGAGAGAGACACATTCCAATACAATAATAGTTGGAGACTTCAACACCCGACTGTAGGCACTGGACAGATCATTTAGACAGAAAAATCAACAATATTGGATTTAAACTCTATATTAGACCAAATGGTCCCAAGAGTATTTACAGAATATTTTACCCAACAGCTGCAGAAGACACATTCTTTTTGTCAGCACATGGAACATTCTCTGGGAGAGACATTACATTAGGACATAAAACAAGGCTCCATCAAATTTAAAAATAATCAAAATTGTATCAATTATTTTCTCAGACCACACTGGAATAAAACTAGGAATCAGAAACAAGAGAAGCTTTGAAAACTGTACAAATACATAGAAATGAAAACAACAGCTCCTGAATGACCACTGAGTCAACAACGAAATTAAGAAGAAAATAAAAACCACTCTAAGCAAGTAAAAACTGAAACACAACATACCAAAACCTATAGGATACAGCAAAAGCAGTGCTAAGAGGGAAGTTTATAGCAGTAAATGCCTGCCTCCATTAAAAGAGTAGAAAGAGGCCGGGTGCGGTGGCTCACGCCTATAATCCTAGCACTCTGGGAGGCCGAGGCAGGCGGATTGTTTGAGCTCAGGAGTTCGAAACCAGCCTGAGCAAGAGCCCCCAAAAAAAAAAAAAAAAAAAAAAAAAAAAGAATAGAAAGATTTCAAATAAACAATCCAATGATGTACCTCAAAAAATCTAACCAGTAAGAACTAAATCCAAAATTAGAAGAAAGAGAGAATAAAGATCTGAGCAGAGCTAAACTAAATAGAGACTAATATAAAAGATCAACAAAATGAGAAGTTGGTTTTGTGAAAAAAAAAATAAACGAAATCAATAAACCACTAGTCAGACTAACCAAGACAAAAAAGACCCGAATAAAATCAAAAACGAAAAAGGAAACATTACAACTGATATCACAGAAATACAAAGCATCATTAGAGATTATTATTATCAACTATATGCTAACAAATTGGTAAACCTAGAGGAAACAGAATATTTCTTGGATACATACAACCTACCGAGATTCAACCAGAAAGAAACAGAAAACCTGCACAGACCAATAATTAGTAATGAGATTGAATCAGTAATAAAAAGTCTCCCAACAACAAAAAAGCCTACGACTGGATGGCTTTATTGCAGAATTCAAACTTATAAAGAAAAACTAACACTAATTCTTGTCAAATCATTTCAAAAAACTTTAGAAAATTTTTTCTAACTCATTCTATGAGGCGAGTATCACCCTTATAGCAAAATTCAACAAGGACGCAACAAAAAACCAAAAACTACATACAGGCCAGTATTCCTGATGAACGTAGGTACAAAAATCCTCAACAAAATACTAGCAAACTGAATCTAACAACATGTCAAAAAGATAACGCATTGTAATCAAGTGGGATTTATCCCAAAGATGCAAGGGTGGTTCATTACATGCAAATCAATAAGTGTAATACATCACATCAACAGAATAAAGGACAAAACCCACATGATTATCTCAATAGATGCAGAAAAAGTATTTAATAAAATTCCACAGCCCTTCATGATAACAACTCTCAACAAATTAAGCATAGAAGGAATATACCTCAACATTAGAAACACCACATACAACAAACCCAGAGCTAACATCATATGGAATGGGGAAAACCTGACACTTTCCTCTAAGAACTAGAACATGACAAGGATGCCCATTTTATGCCCATTTTACCAGTTTTATTTAACATGGTACTGGAAGTTGTCCCAGACAGAGCACTCAGGCAAGAGAAAGAAATAAAAGGCATCCAAACTGGAAAAGAAAAGAGGAAGGCAAACTGTCCTTCTCTGCAGATGACATGATCTTATAAATAGAAAAATCTAAAGATTCAATCAAAAAACTCTTAGAACTGATAAACAAATTCAGTAAAGTTGCAGGATACAAAATCAACATACAAAAATCAGTAGGGTTTCTGTACACCAATCATCAACTAGCTGTAAATAAATCAAGAAAGCAATCCCATTCACAATATATATATATAGGGAGAGAGAGAGAGAAAACCGCAAGGTATAAATTTAACCAAGGAAGTGAAAGTTCTCTGCAAGGAAACTATAAAACACTGATAAAAGAAAGAAAACAAGACACAAACAAATGGAAAGACATCCCATGCTCATGGATTGGAAGAATTAATATTGTTAAAATGACCATATTACCCAAAGCAATCCACATATTCAATGCAATCCCTACCAAAACACAAATGACATTCTTTACAGAAACAGAAAAAACAATCCTAAAATTCGTATGGAAAAACAAAAGATCCTGGACAGCCAAAGCAATCCCAAAGAAAAAAAGAACAAAGCTGGAGGTATCACAGTACTGACCTCAAAAAATACTACAAAAAATACAGCAACAAAAACTGTATGGTACTGGCATAAAAACAGATATATTAACCGGTGGAATAGAATAGAGAAGCCAGAAGTAAATCCACATATTTACAGCCAACTGATTTTCAGTAAAGGTGCCAAGAACATATATTAGGGAAAGGACACCCTTTTCAATAAATGATGCTGGGAAAACTGGATATCCACATGCAGAAGAATCAAACTGGACTCCTATCTCTCACCTTATACAAAAATCAACTCAAAATGAATTAACGAGTTGAACATAAGACCAGAAACTATAAGACTACTAGAAGAAAACACTGGGGAAACACTTCAGGACACTGGTCTAGGCAAAGATTTTATGGCCAAGACTTCAAAAGCACAAAACAAAAATAGACAAATAGCCCTAGATTAAACTAAAAAACCTTTTGCACAGCAAAGGAAATAAGCAACAGAATGAAGAGACAACCTGTAGAATGAAAGAAAACACATTCTATTCATCCAACAAGAGAGTAATATCCAAATATATACAGAACTTAACAGCAAACCAACCATTCCACTGAAAAAGTGAGTGAAAGATCTCAATCGATGTTTCACAAAAGAAGACATACAAATGGCCAACGTGTGTATGAAAAAGTGCTCAATACCAATAACCATGAGGGAAATGCAAATCAAAACCACAATGAAATATCATCTCAACCCAGTTAAGATGGCTATTATCAAAAAGACAAAATAACAAATGCTGGTGAGGATGGGGAGAAAAGGGAACTCTTATACACTGTTTGTAATGTAAACTAGTAAGGCCATTATGGAAAACAGTATGAAGGTTTCTCAAAACAGTAAAAATAGAATTACTATACCATCAATCCCATTACAGGGCATTTATTGAAAGGAAAAAAACAATTAGTATATCAAAGGGATACCTGAACCCCCATGTGTAATGCAGCACTATTCACAATAGGCAAGATATGGAATCAAGCTAAGTTTCCCCAATAGATCAATGGATAAAGAAACTGTGGCTAGAGTGCTGTGGCGTCAGCCTAGCTCACAGCAACCTCAAACTCCTGGCCTCAAGCAATCCTCCTGCCTCAGGCTCTCAGAGTGCTAGGATTACAGGCATGAGCCACTGCACCCAGCCATAATAACATTCTTTATATTAAAACAAAGAGATAATATCTTGATCATATAAAGAGTTCTAAAAACAAAGATATAAAATAAGCAATCCAATGGAAAAACAGGAAAAGAATATAAATAGGGAATTGGCAGAGGAAGAAATGCACAAATGGCAAGTGAAGGGAAAGAATATGCTCAAACTTGCTACTAACAGAAGAAATACAAATTAAAACAATGATAAATCTTTGGTTTCCACTTTGGATGTAGAAAGCTGGAAAGAGAAGTGTTCCCATTTTAAAAAGAAAAAGCTAGGTTATCTATCAAACTATAATTTTTCTTAAACTCACCAGAAAGCAGATGTCATAGTGCAATCAACTAGACTGAAATATATAGAAAGACAGATCCTCCAAGGACTTGGAATATGAGCAGTGGTTTATCTGAGGCACGATGTGGGAGGAAAAGGAGGCCTCCATGAAAGACGGTAAGAAAATTTCAGCTAAAATCTTTTGTCACTTACTAAAGGTCAGGTGCAGGCTTGCATGAGAGCACAGAACCCTTGAGAATCAAAGACACAAGTGGAGTTTGCACCCTGTGGCAGGATTTCCTCTTCAAACCTCACTGGGTGCTCATGCTAAAGAAAGCCTACCTCAAGGGCAGGCCTAGGGGAGGTGAACAATGGTTTTCTGGGAAAAGCAGCAAACCCTGTTACCCCCAGGCAGTAGGTGAAAAAAATAGGTGGGGCAAGGAAACAGGAAAAAAACCCCAAAACAACCAATACCTTTACTCCTAAAGAGGGAACACAAGGCCTGCCTACGACTGAGGCTGAACCATGACAATAGAAAAAGATCTTCCGGCCCTCATCCTTCAATATCAGGCTAGCAAATGTCCAGCAAAAAGTTATAGCAGACGTTAACACATAATTTTATCTGCTACATTATTGAAGTACAAATGGCACAGACTTCAGCATATTTAATAAATGTCCAAATAACATTACTACATAATAGACTAATAAACTAAGAAAATTATTTGAAGACATATTAAACACACTAATGAATTACGATATGTATACATGATGTATATGTGTATACATATGTGTATATATAAAATCAAGTTACACCAGAGAAGGAAATTACATAAAATTTTTAGTGTGCCAAGTTTTACCTGAGCTCTATATATGTGCTTCCTTAAGGCATCTTTTATTTCAATAATATCCACATCTGTCCTGATATCCTTGGTTTTTGATTCTTTGGTATAATCAGCAAAAACAGAGTTCTTCACTTCTTTCTGCATACACCAAAGTAAAAAAAATTCAGAAAATGTATGAAAGATAGTGTCAACACAGATGATATCACAAAGGGACAATACAATACAAGAAGAACACATCCAAACAGTGTTAACCACAGCAAAGATCCATCCTTACAATCATATATCGAGATTATATAATGAAATAAAAAGTTTAAAGAGAAAAAATTTCAGTTTGTAAAGTTTTAACTGATATTTATATATCTACTTTCTTAAGGTACTTTTCATTTTAACCTGTTCCAAATCTTTCCTGGAACCTCTTTCCTTTTGTTGTTGCCATGTTCACATAAAACTACATTCATTACTTATTTACCTTCATCATTTTTCTGAAGGTCCTTCTGAGCATATGTATATAAACATACTGTGGTTTAGACTGTAAAATGAAGTTATACTCTAGGAAATATTTATCCAAGAAGAATCCCATTTAAAAGACAAGCGATCTTATAAAAAATGGCCTGAATTATACCAAGGAAGAGTAAGACAGAAAATAAAATTTACATTAGAATATATTACCCAAACTACACACATATGTAGTTTTAAGGCTTTTTCATTTGAAGAAATACAGCCTCTTTTTCAGAACCTTTGTTTCTTTTTCTTGTTACATTCAGGCAAGACAAAATTCATTCAAGTATCTTGATTATTAACTCAAATTTTTTTGTGTATTCATGTAAAAATACTTCCACTGTGACCCAAAGCTAATTATAACATTAACTATGAATATCACGCCAGATCAACTCAAGAGTTTTTTTATAAGACATGAAGGTTATATTTAACACAGCAAGTAATCACAAGAATCAGTTTATATATCTACATTATATTAGAGAACAGACAAAAACAATTAAAACTGCAGCTTAGATTACAAAAAGTTTTACCTGATCTTTATAATATATATGCTTTCTTAAGGTACTTTTAATTTTGTCATGTTCGACGTTTTTCTTGTAATTGCTTTCTTTTTCTTTTTTGTGTTTTTTCCTCAAAGTATACCTCCTTTGAACATCTTCATCTTTTTTCTTAATTTCCTTCTATGTGTATTTAGACCAGAATTAAACAAATCTCAACATGAATGATATATGCTACAAAATCCAAATAAACTCAAGAAGAGTGACTTACACACAAGTATACTAAATTAAAAAATAAAGAGTTACATACAACAGGAATCTCATCTACTGTTGGGAGTGGGCGTACATTAGTAAAACATTCTGAAAAACAGGTGGGCATTACCTAGTACAGTTGAACATGCACAGTCCTCATGACCCAGCAACTCTATTCCTAACAATATATCCTATGCCACAGAAATTCCTGAACATGTGTACCAAGAGTTACACAAGATAATGTTCACACTGTTCGTAGCAGAATTGCAAAAACCAACCAATTAATCAAACACACGAACCAACAAAAAGGAACCCAAATGCTTATCAATAGTACAATGGATAAAAGATATAATTTTGGCATAGTCAAACAGTGAAACACATATACACCAGCAAAAATAGTCTATAAATAACATGAACTACAAAGTAATCATTAACAGACAAAACTAAACAATATATAGTTAGAGATACAAACATAGCTATTAAAGCTATAATGAAAAGCAAGAAAATAGTTAATACAAATTCTAAGATAAAGGTAACTTCTGAATTAGAGGCAGAAAAAGGGATGCAATTAGGAAATGACAAACCAGGGCCTTAACGATTGGTAAGGCTCTATATCTTAACCTATCTGTTGAGTACATAGCATTCATTTTTATATTCTTTTTAAAACTATACATGAATGTTTTATAAACACTTTTGTGCATGTACTTCAGAAGAAATGTGATAAATGACAAACTTAGAAAATTTAGAAAAAAGGTATAAAATATAAAGAAATTATTTTTAATTTGGCAAGTTTTACCTGATTTCCATATATACGTCTTCCTAAGGTATTTCTCATTTTAACGAATTTCAAATCTTTTCTGGAGCCTTCAAATTTTTCTTTTTTGTGATGTTCAGTCAAAACAGAACTAATATTAACATCTTCACCACAATTTTGCATTTCTTTCTGCATGTTTTTAAAAATAATTTAGTTAGACTGTGGATTAAATATAGCCTCAACACAACCAATGCAAGTCACAAAAGAAAAACCCACCCAGTAACATAGGTTTTTTAAAATATACATATGATATTAAATACAGTAAAGAGCCCTGTGAATTACGTTATCTCTTAGTTGCACCAAGATAAAGCAGCAGAAAATAAATGTCTTAGTTCACAAAGCTTTATAGTATGCTTACATACACACAATTTAGTTTGCCTAGCTTACGTATGTTTAATTCAAAGTAGTATTACGAACCATATTTTTTATTAAACTAAGAAATTGATTTAAAGAAAGAAATTTCTACCTCAATTTTATATATAAGCTCTTGAATTCTAAAAGAAACCAAATTCCCTCTAGAAGAAACTCAAAAGGTTGTATGCAAGTCATGTGCCTCTTAGCAATGGGATATGTTCTGAGAAACGCATCATTAGGCGATTTCATCATCATGCAATCATCATAGAGTATACTGACACAAGCCTAAATGGTATAGCTTACTACATACCTGGACTATCTGATGTATAGCTTTTTGCTCCTATGCTACAAACCTGTATAGCATATTACTGTACTGAATACTGTAGGCAACTACAACATAACACTGAGAATTTGTGTATATAAACATATCTAAACATAAAAAAGCTGCAGTAAAAATACAGCATCATAATCTTATGAGACCACTGGCATATCGGCGGTCCATCATTGACAGAAACATCATTATGCTGCACATGACTGTAGATGTATTTTAATAATTTCTGTACCTTTTATAGTCTCTATTATTTTTCCCACGTTTATTCAAAACCAAATCTGTTATTTATTTATTTATTATTAGTTTTTGAGACAGGATCTTGCTCTGTCACCCAGGCTGGTGAGCAGTGGCTACTCACAGCTCACTGCAGCCTTGAACTCCTGGGCTCAAGGGATCCTCCTGTCTCAGACTGAGTAGCTGGGACTACAGCCACATACCACTATGCCTGGCTAATTTTTTTATAGAGACAGGTCTTGCTATGTTGTTCAGGCTGGTCTTGAACTCCTGGTCTCAAGTGATCCTCCCCCGCCTCGGCCTCCCAAAGTGCTGCAATTACAGGCATGAGCCATCACATCCAGCCCAAATTTATTTAATCTCCATCATTATTTTACATTCCTTTCTTTATGTAAAAATATACTGTGGTTTATGATGCAAAGTTCAACAGGCACATCAACTCAAAAAGACTCTTATTAAAACACGCTCATGGGCCAGGCATGGAGGCTCACACTTGTAATCCTTGCACTCTGGGAGGCCGAGGCAGGAGGATCGCTTGAGGTCAGGCGTTCAAGACGAGCCTGAGCAAGAGCAAGACCTGTCTCTACTAAAAAAAAAAAAAAAGAAAGAAAAAATTAGCAAGGTGTGGTGGTGCATGCCTGTAGTCCCAGCTACTCAAGAGGCTGAGGCAGGAGTTTCGCTTGAGCCTAGGAGTTTGAGGTTGCTATGAGCTAGGCTGATGCCACGGCACTCTAACCCAGGCAACAGAGCAAGACTGTCTCAAAAAAAATAAAATAAAACAAAATAAAATAAAATAATAAAAAACACAACAAAACAAACAAAACAAAAAAATGCTTATGCAGTTAATTAGAGAAAGTAGTCTTACAAGTCACATAAATATCAATTACACTTTGGAAAAGCTAGGAAAAACTATAAAAATATTTTAAGATTAGAAAGTTTGAGCTAACCTTGCCATAAATGATTTCTTGAGGAACTAGTTAAGTTCCAAATTGTTCCCAGAATTATCTTTCAAAAATATTTGACAGATACAGTAGAAACAACTTATTTTGAATTTCTTCCCAGTTACACATAAAAATATTTTAGTTTAGACTAATAATTACTAAGTTAATGATAATTTGATAAATTAACCAGACTGTTTTATAAAACATGATATGAAATTGAACATAATTGAACATTAGCTCTTTTAGACTAGAACTAATAATGCCTTTTTGGTTGCTGCTGCCGTTTGAAAAATTGTACTTAAAGAGCAACATATATGCTTTCTTGAGATATCTTTCACTGTTCCAAGTTCAAAGTCCTTCCTGTTTTTTTGTTTTCCATGTTATTCAAAATAGAATTCGTTTGTGTTTTTTTGAATTTTGTTCTAAATGCATGTAATTACCTGAGTTTAGAAGATGAATTATGAATATACATAGTGCTAACAGGTAAGAAAAATGCTTTATAAGACACACACATTACATTAAACATACAGAAGAATTTTAAGTAATTACCATGTGTTGAGAATATACTACGTATGAGGAACACTGTGTTTCTATATGCATATATGCATTATTTCAATAAGAGTCCCAAAACAGAGACATAGGGCAATGTCCTAATATGGTCAAGTCATAGACGGACTATAAACACATGGTTCAAACACCAGCTTTCTGATATCAAAATCCATGTTATTTCCACTATATTTTGTCTCTCAAACAATTCTGCAAGAAATACCAGAAATTTATGTTTTCCAGCCTATAAATTTTACCTTTGTTTTACATGTGGTCTCTCTTGAGGCACCTTTCATTTCAAGAAATCCCGTATCTTTCCCGAAATCTTTGTTTTTTTCTTGATTATGTTTGGTCCAAACAGAATTGGTTTGGGAATCTTCACCATTCTGAATTTCTTTCTGTATATATGTAAAAATGATTTAGGCAATCAACCAAGTATAATTTCAACATTATGTACCTTTTATGGTTTTCAACTTTATAATTGCATATATGTTGCACTTTGACCATTTCTTTTCATAGAAAAGGGAAAATTCTCACACCTTTACCAATCTAGTTAAGAATGACTTTCATTCTGTTTACACTTAATACTAAATTTAAACTATTTAGAGAGGCCTATCAGAGAGGATGCTTTTGGCTGCAAACAACAGAAAACCAACTCAAACTAATTTAAATATTATGGAAATGTATTACCTCACAGAATAGCAATGCAGTCCAATGCTAGGACAGGTTTCAGCGTTGGTTAATCTAGCAAATAAAGGGTGCAGATTCTATCTCTACATTCTGCAATCTACAGGGCTGGTTTCATCCTATGGCTAGTTCTCCTATAGGTCAAAGAATGTCTTCTAGTAGTAATTCAGGTTACATTCTTCCGTGTTCACATCTAGCAGGAGGCATCCCACCAGTGGCTCTCTTTTCAGAGTCAGGAAGAAACTTCCTAGCAGCCCTTACATACTTCTCTTCATGTCCCATTGATCAGAATTGGTACACATGCTCCTTCCTACACTAATCATTGTCAAGGACAATGAGATTATCCATATTCCAAGCAGATCCATTCCTTGTACTAGGTCAAATATCCAATCTACACTGCTGCTACTCATTATGGAAAGGTAATTATACAACGATATATTACATCTATTTTTGGAAGACTCAAAGGTCTTTCATAAATAATCTATTAACCTAACAAATATTAAATGAGAACCCATGTGCAGGCTCTACGCAAAGTGATTGTGATGTAACTATGAGAATGATAGACATGACCTCTGATGACAAGGAGCATTTGGTTTAGATAGGAAAATAGATATTAATTGAAAAAATCAGCCAATTATTTAACTGTAATTGTAGTGAGTACTATGAAGCAAAAATAATTCTATGAGCACACATTATACATGAACCTAACTTAATAAGCGGATCAGGGAGGCTTTCTCAAACAGCAACATTATAACAGGAACCTGAATAATGAGCAGAAGGCAGGAAGGCACAGGGAATGAAGGAGTAGTGGAGAAGACCTTTTAAGGCAGAGAAAGTATCTTTTGAGAAGACACTAAGGTAGGAAGCATCCTAGCTAAGAAAGTGGAAGAAGTCAGTTTTGATATATTAATTGAATAGCATAGGGAGCATAGAAAGGGAAGCAGAATACAGCTGAAAGGTAGCAGTGACAGGAATCCTGTAGGAACTTGTAAGCCATATTAGAAATTAAGAACTTTATCCTAAGGACAATGGGAAACCACTGAAAGGTTTTAAGCAGGAGAGTGACAGGATCAGAATTGTTTTAGAAAGAGCATTTTGATTATTCTTTCTGGATGAACAAGCATATACTAGAGAAGGACAAGGTAAGAGTCACTATGAAAAGGTACAGTAACAGGATGAGTAATTAGGAGTCTATTCCAGGAAAAAGAGGAAAGACAATAACCTCAGTATGATGTTAGTACAGAAGGAGAAAAGCTGTTTGATTCAAGAGATATTTGAGATAAAATCAATAGGATTTGGTAGTTGAGAAGATATGAGGAATAAGGGAAAGAAGATTTCAAGGGTGATTCTCCAGTCTCTGACATAAAGTATTAGATAAAACATGATGGTATCTATTGAGATGGGAAACACTAAATGAGATGACTTTTTCCTAGCTCAAGGTTGTTTTTGGTGATACTGAGCTTTCTCTTCTACCTTGAGTGCTTTTCTTATAAATTCTTTGCCTGTCTCCCAGAGGGTTTCTTCTAGGGTTTGATTCCCATACAAACAACTTGAGGAATGGTATTTGTATCAAGTTAGGAGAGGGAGGTAGGGGAATAGGACAGAAAAGTATTTCTAAGCCCTTATAAATAGCTCTCTTTTCCAAAGGGAAAATAATCCAAAAATTTTGATGTGGTACAATATAATACGATATAGTCCACTGCTATTTTATTTATACCGACATTCAAATGCTTAAAATTATTTCATAGTCTATATCACAGAATCATTGAAAACAGAAAGTACAGACTTACGACAAATTTTAAACTTAACAAGGATCTTTCAAAACTGTAAGTATTCTTGAATATTTAAGTAACTGAGAGCAACTGCCTTGAAAAGTATGTCATTTAAATTACCTCTAATCATATATTTTAGAACTCTAGAACATAATTTTAATATATATTTTACTACACTGGAATTTTATATAACAAACATTTTAAAATGTTTATTTTACTTACCTCTAAAAGAAAGTCCCCTAGATATTGAATTGGATAAAATGGAGCCTTAAAGTTATCTTTTTCTTTCTCAGCCTTGATTCTTGCATTACTGGCAATCACATGAGTTATTCCACTTGGTGAACTTTTTGGTAAAATAACATTTGCCTTTCCAGCCTCCAAAACTCTAAATAAAAATGTAAATGGTATGGAAAGTATTAGAAAAATTAAGTATATTCAGTCAAATTATCTAAATCAATTACTTCCTAGGAGTAGGAGTAGAATTTTCTGGAAGGAACCAATTTCTTTGGGGATCACGGAGAATAATTACTACAGTAATTTCTTAAATTATAAGTTGTTCAGAACAGATGTTTAAGAAATCATACTACTCTTTCAACCTATCCATTTATTGATATAAGAAAGGCTTTTTACAAACTACGAATATTATTAATAAAGTATTCCCCAAGGAAAAGTCACATCAATAAGCCAAAAGAACAATGAAGGAAGTCTAAGGAAGCAGCTACCCTGGAAGGCAAATACCTCCAACAAAATCATTCTGGACCACAAAAAATGGAACTAGTTGCCAACCCTCCAGCAAAAAGTTAGCTTTTAAAAAATTTTAGCCTTGATCTACATTAAGAAATACATTCAACATTTAGACTCAGAAGACATACACACTGACACATACATCCTAAAAGTTTCATGCAGTTCTGTTTCTGCTTAGGCTTGTCTCAAGTGAACACTGCCACCACCTAACAAAAAGGAAAAGGTAAACAATCTACAAAATCATTTTTGTTCCCTGACAAGAAATACTAACAACAAAAAAAACATAACTTTTATTGAGTCCATCAGAAAACCAATTAACAACAAGTCAATCAAATAAGCTGATTTCTTAAGAGTGATAAGCACCTTTGTGAAGAGATTGGACATTCATACTACTTCATGTTGGTAGAGCACAGGAGAGAAGTGGCTTCCATACAAGTGTATAAGAATCAGGTAAAATTTAAAAAATTTAAGGGTCGAATATAGCTAGCTTGATAGTTTAGAAAACTGGAAGTCCCCGACATAGGGAAGCCTGTCCTCACTTGCGAGCTCTTTGCCCCAGGTCTCCATTAATGGTTCATGAAAAAGACTGGGGACAGATCAGAAGAAAAAGAGGGAGCCCCACTTAGTAGCATAGGTGGGTGGGAAAGACAAAAAACTAGGCCTACTTCCCTGAACCTTTCTCTCATATTAAGCAAAAGCCTTAAGTCATTTGGGTAGGAATAAGAACATATTCTGCCCTGCAAGAAGAACTGGTGCAAAATCCTGCAAGGCCCAGGATCTTGCACCAATATATAGCACAGTTCTAATACTAAGGGAGAGGCCGGAAACTCACTCTTGCCCAATATCCTGCCCACAAAGACAAGGCAGAATTTAGCTGCAATGGGAGGTTAAGACACAAATGCTGAGAAAGCCCTAACCCCAGGGACCAGTAGAATGGAGAATGCTTAAGATTAAAGCTTGTCTAGCAGAACTGAGAATATACCACCCACAACCTTGGCCTAGAAATGAGTAGCAAGAGAGAAGGAATACCAAGAAGGAGAGTCCTTCTGTGATGTAGCAGTGCAGGGATTGGTGAAAGATGAGGGTAGAGCAAGAACACTGATTAAAAACTCTCCAGTGCCCCAGCACAAACAAACGGAAGTCCATTGCTGTTGGGTGAAGTGATGACTATAGCATTAACAAAACCCAAGTCCACCTGTCTTACTTGTTTTTTGCTGTTATAACAGAATACTGAAGACATGGTAATTCACAAAGAAACTCAAAACTCAACTGAAAGAAAACAAATAACCTGATTAAAAAATGGGCAAAGGACCTAAATAGACATCTCTCAAAAGAAGTACAAATGGCTAGCAGATGAATTAAAAAATACTCAACATCACTAATTGTTATGGAAATGAAATTTAAATCTCATATCTGTCAAAATGGCTATTATCAAAAAAATGAAAGATGATTATTGGCAAGGATGTGGAGAAAAGGGTACCCTAGTACACTGTTGCTGGGAATGTAAATTAACACAGCCATTATGGAAAACAGTACGGAAGCTCCTCAAAAAACTAAAAAACTTACCATATGATCCAGCAATGTCACTTCTGGGTATATATCCAAAATATCTGCAATCAGTATATTAAACAGATATCTGTACCCCTTTTTATTATAGCATTATTCACAACAGCCAAGTTATGGAATTAATCTAAGTGTCCATCAACAGATGACTAGATAAAGAAAATGTGGTATATATACACAATGGAATATTATTTAGCCTTTAAAAAGAAGGAAATTGTGTCATTTATGACAACATGGATGAA